TTTATTTATATACTTGGTTAAATTTGTGATCTAATTTTTGAATTTTAATTTATAGAATTTTAGTCCATAGTATTGTTGTGTGTTTGAAAGTGTCTTATTTATGACGTAGGTCATTGTAGTTTTTCCATAAATTCATTTTGATCACCATTTTTTCTTGAAATTGCATGAAATAGCATGGTTTAATATTTTGATGGCTGCTTGTAATTTTTATTTATTCTGATTTAGTCTTACATGCTTAATACATAGTTTCATGCTTCTAATTTTATTTCGTTTATATTTTAGTCACCATTCTAATTAATATTGTATGCTATGGATTATTTACATGTTTGGTCCTCCTTATTTCAGCACCTTTTTCATTTAGCCACTAGCCTATGGGTAAATCACACTATAGTCCTCCTAACCTTTATTTTCATGCGTTTTTGTCCCTCTTGCTTTGTTATTTAACTTTCTGCCCTTTTTTATTTATGCTCTTCATTTTCAGCAATTTGATTTTTAGTCTTTAATTTAATACACCTAAAATTTTTAATTCTTATTATTGGGACTTTTAATTTTTCGATCACTTAATTTTAGACTCTGTCTTTGTTTACTTAACATAATTCTGAGCATATAATCCTTATTAAACTAGTCAAAATTACTATTTTACTTATTTATTCTTACGTTCAAATTATATTCGTAGTTTCCACCTTTATTTTAGTTTTTTGTTATTTATATACAGTTACCAAATAAGCTTACTTTCTATCCATTTTAGAATCATGTTGACATTTACATTCATTTCCTTTAATATTAGCCCATTAAAAATTATTCTCCATATTTACGCTTACATTTACTTCATTGTAATATGTAACATTAATTGCATAGTATATATATGGTTATATTAATTGCATAGGATTAAAGATTATTCTTTTTATTATATATTAAGTTTTATGGGTAAGTTATATGTTTATGTATATATATTTGGAGCATTAATTCATAAATAGATTTGTTCATAAGCACTGTTTTTTTCTTTTTAATTAATTATTTATTTATTAGTTTTACCTATTATTAAATATTACTTTCGTTTCTATATTTCCAAAACTATGTACACTTTTTTCCATGTTTTTATGCCTTTCCATTTAATTAATTTTATCATATATATATATATATATTAAATATAATTATACATGGTATATGAAGGTTTTTTACATACATATCTATAAATATAGTAATTATTATATTTTTTTATTATCAAGGATTATTTCCTTATATTACGTGTGTGCATATATGGCTTAATATATAACAGATGTTGTAGGGAGATTGTTAGGATCGAAGAGGGTCAAATCAAACAACCGAAAAATGTGCAAAGGGGGTGAATTGATAAAAATGTGTTTAGGGAGTAAGGAGAGAAAAAGATAAGACAATGAATACAATGATTTATAGTGGTTCAACTTCTCAATTAAGTCTACCTCCACTGCCTTAGCTCCTCACTAAGGATTTTCTAACAAATTCACTAATTTGTTCTTTCTTTTTCAAGGATATGATGTAACCTTTACAACCTCCCTATTTTTTTCACTTGGCTAACATAGAACCAAAAACCCCTTTACAAAAGGATAAAAGAAGTAAACAAAGAAACCTCTCTACGGTACGTGTTTACAAATTTAAGGTCACAAGAACAAAATATTTACAAGAGAATTGGCATAAATAGTGAAAAGTTATTCTCTTGTGTTTGATTGCTTGGATAGGTGTTCTAACCCTTCTTCAAGTGTCCTCAACTTGTATTTATATGTTGGAATGTTGTTGTGGCCGTTTCTAGCCGTTGGGAGTGTTTTGGAGCCGTTGGGGATCAATTTTCGTGCAAAATAAAACTGTCCAGAACAGAGGGTATCGATACTCCTAAAGGGAGTATCGATACTACCTTTGTTATTTTGAAATCAACTAGTCGTTACTAGCTGTTGGGGCCTGATGGTATTGATATTATGCCTATGGTATCGATACTACTATGTAGAGTAGTATCGGTATCCCTTGGGGTATCGGTACCATTTTTTCATTCTGGAATTTGAGCAATGTTGGTAGTATCGATACTACCTAGTGAGTATCGATACTTCCCTTACCTTTGATATATGTACCATATGAACAGTATCGGTACTGTTTATGAGGTATCGATACTGTAAGAACAATATCGGTACTGCTTGTCCGAAAAAACATTTTGTGCTCAATTTCAAGTTAAAAGGACTTTAAATTATTTTTTAAAACTTTGAGAACTTTGAATAAATCCAATTCAAGTCCAAAAACATTTTGCCTTAATTGTTATATCAAAATATAGTTCAACAATCTCCCACTTTTTGATATAACAAAACATTTGAAAAATTGTTTTTGGTAAAACACCCCCTTAATAAAAACATTTAATGAAAAATATAGCAATTGTTGGAAAATGTATGAAAATATTCAGCTCCCCCTTTTTCATTAAGATATAGAATTTTTCAAACCATACTTCTCCCCTTTTTGTTATATAAAAAAATAAATCAACTTTAAAGTTCTAAAATAACTTTGGAGAGTAAGTGTTAAATTTTATCATAAAATCATTTTAAAAATCAAAAGCTTCCCCCCAAAAAGTGCATTCCAAACAAAAATTGTCTTTAAAAGCTTGACGCTCAAACAAAATTGAATTTCAACAAAGAATAACAAACATGTTAGTAGCATATGAAATTCAATATATCCAAGTCTAAAATACTTTATGCAATACCAAATTGAAATTAAGTGCATATCCATAAAGCTTTTCAAAAATGTTATGCATTTGAAAAATTTGATATCAATTGTTAGAGAGATATCATTTGCATTTTAAACTACATGCATAATCATTTAAAATTTAGGTCAAAAATTAAAATTTATAAAATCAAAGAATTTGAAAATTTTGATATCAATTGTTAGAGAGATATCATTTGCATTTAAAACCAATTTTGACCAAAATTCATTATGATGAACTAAAAATTATGAAAAATCATTAAAAATTTAAAATGTTCATCATAAAACTTTTTCAACATACATGAGATAAAAAACAAAACATAGCCATTTACGATCAAAACTCATGCATGCTTAAAACTAAATGAGCAACCAAATAATCAAAATCAAAAGCATTAAGTTTAGAGGTTACCCATTCCTTTTTTCAAGTGTGGCTAGAGCATCTCAAATTCTTCATCTTCATTACCATTGCTCACACACACCTACAAGAGACATTTATTTGGATATTGGTATCCAAATTGCTTTGGATCCTTGGACGTTATTTTCAATGCCCCTTGTTCCCTTGGGAACCCATACTTGTCTAATTTTAAAAGATTTTCTTTTCTTTATGGGACAAGTATGTTCCAACTGACCATAAAAATGACAATGTGAGCATTTTGACATTTTTCAAACATAATGAGTTGTTTTTAGAAATTGATTATTTTTCTTTTGCTAAGCTCTCAAGCTTAACTTTCAAATCAAAATTTTCTTTTTCTAAACCATTGATTTTGATTTTTGAAAGTTTTAAATCATTTTTCAAAATTTCAATTTGATTCTCAAAATCAACTTTTGCTTTCAAAACCAACTTTTGCTTTCAAAACCAAATCATTTTCAACTTTAAGTTTTGAAATCAATTTCTTATATTTGGAATTCATGGTCTTAAATTCCAAATACAACTCATTATAAGCATCTTGTAACTCATCAAAAGAATGTGAATTTAATTCATTTGAGTTAAAAAAATACCATTGAATCATCTTCAATGACCATGAAACATAGGTTGGCTATTTCATCTTCATAATTGGAGTTATCTTTATCACTCCAAGTCACCACAAATACCTTTTTCTTGCTAGATCCCTTCTTCTTTAGAAGAGGACATTCATACTTGACATGCTCCTTTCTTTGACAATTGAAGCATACTGGGGGACTCTTCTTCTTGCTCAATTCATGCTTCACTTCCTTGGAAAACATGAATCTCTTGAACTTTTTGAAGAGCTTGGCCATCTCTTCTTTTTCATCATCGTCTTCATCCACCTTATCATTTGAATCTTCATAGCTCTTATTAGTGGACTTGAAGGCAATGTCTACCTCATTCTTCTTCTTGTTTTGCTTGTCTTCATCTTCTTCCTCTTCCTTCACCATCAACTCATGAGTGAGAAGAGAACCAATCAACTCATCGAGAGTGAGAGACTTTAGGTCTTGAGCTTCGATAATTGTCGTCTTTTCACCGGGTATGTTATTTATATTTAATCGATACAATAACCCAAGTGTCGATACATTTTTATAAAGTATCGACACTTTATAGGTGTTATTACGGCTTCTCTTTTAAATTCCAAAATTGTCGATACTTATAATAAAGTATCGACACTTTTAACATATCCGGTGACTCTTTACCGGTTTTGTCATTTTTAGACCGGTTTTATCATATTTTTACCTGTTATATTGTTATGGATCGATACATTTTTATAAAGTATCGACACTTTATAGGCGCTATTACTGCTTCTCTTTTAAATTCCAAAAGTGTCGATACTTATAATAAAGTATCGACACTTTTAACATATCTGGTGGCTCTTTACCGGTTTTGTCATTTTCAGACCGGTTTTATTATATTTTACCTGTTATATTGTTATAGATCGATACATTTTTTAAAGTATCGACACTTTATAAACGCTATTACTGCTTGTCTTTTAAATTCCAAAAGTGTCGATACTTATAATAAAGTATCGACACTTTCAACATATCCGGTAGCGCTTTACCGGTTTGATCATTTTGAGACCGGTTTTGTCATATTTTTACCTGTTATATTAATATGGATCGATACATTTTTTATTTGTATCGACACAAACCGACAAGCTAGGTTTTCCGGTTGCCAAATATTTTAATATTTGTTCATGATTTCTACCTACAACATTATTATTACTCAATATTTCGGTAGCGCTAAACTGGTTTCTTTAAATATCTTTTAATATATCTGATCACGCCGTATATTAACCGTATATTAGTCCGCCTTTCCTAATACAAATCCCTAGTTCAAATCTCAGTGGAACCTTTTTCTTTTACTTCAAGTAGATTACTTGGATTGCATATTATCATTTCTCGTTTTTTGCACGAAAATAACATTTGTTTTCTTTTAAAAGTTAAATCCGAAAATATATTGAAGCGAAATTTTAAATGAGAAATGTATTCAAGTAGTAAATTTATTCCAGAGTCGATTAAGGAATATTTTGAAATGATAAAATTGAAATTACAAAGACGATATTCTTTCCTTTGATGATTTAGTACTTAATTTATCATTTTAACAGTATGATTTTAAGTAGGCTTAATACCAAAATAAGTGTCCAAACTCTACCCATTTTCTCAAATAGGTCCCTAACCTAATTTTTGTCTAATCCAGGTGTCTAATGTTACAAATGTTATCCATTTAGGTGTCTGGGCCGGTAACGGTGTTAATTTCCTCGTTAAATGACATGTGTTATAATCCGGTAATTTTAAAAATTTTATTTAAAATTAAAAGAAATAAAAACTATATATATATATTTAAAAACAGAAAACACAAATTTTGAAATAAACCTGAAACTTTGAAAACCTTCATTTCAACCCCTAAACCCACATTGGGCACCACCTTTTGCCATCGATGAAGCTCTACCCGACCTCCCCTCCCCCGGCGACCAAAACCCCATGAAATCGTGATCGATCGATGGTCTATCGACGACGAATCAACGTTTTAAACTGCCTGAAACCTAGTATTAAAATCGCGTTTCCATGCAATTATGACAACCAATCGACAAAAAATACGACAGTGTATGAGTATGAGGATGGCATGAACTATGTCGGTGGCAGTAGTTGTGGCCGAAAACGACGGCGGGTTAAGGTTAGGATTTGGGATTTTGGGGCTGTTTTATAATACAAGAAACGTTAGTGTTTTTTTTATAAATATCATACTATTTTTAATATTTTATTTTTAAAAAATAAAAATATCAGATTGTGACACATGTCACTTAATGGTAGAAATTAACGCCGTTGACGGCTCGAACACCTAAATAGGTAACATTTGTAACGTTAGGCACCTGGATGAGACGAAAATTTGTTTAGGAACCTATTTGGGAACATAAGTATAGTTTGGGTACTTATTTTGGTATTAAGCCTTTTAAATATTAATATTATAATCTTTATTTTTATTAATTAATAATAGTATATGTAGGGATGGCAACATGGCGAGTAGGGTTTCTGTTAACCTAATCCGACTCGAAAATATGTATCCTCTACTCAAACCCGACCCGACCAAAATTTTTTATAACAACCTTCACCCTACTGAGCCAAATTTTTAGAGTATAAATTCAACCCAACTTACCGAACCGATAAAAAAATAAGGATTTAATTATAAAAAAATAAAATTTTAAAAAAAATTACATTATTTTCCTCCGGTCGGGTCGGGTTGGAGTTTTTTCACCCTAAACTGGAACCCGACTTAATTTGAACCCGATTTTTTTAAATCCGACATATCGAGTCGGATTCGGGTTAAATTGACATCCCTAAGTATATGAGATCTAATATCTAAACCATAACAAATTTTGACTTTTCAAAATCACATTATTTTAATTTTAAGATAAATTATGTGTTTAGTACTTAAACTATTAGTTTTAATCTGTTTTAGTATCTAAATTTTTATTTTTCAAAATCATACTTAACATTTAGTTTTTGTTTCATTTTAATACATCGCCATTAAAAACTTAACCACACTGTATTTTGTATAGGTAAATTACATCATGCATCCTTAACTGTCTTCTCACTCCTATTTTGGTACTAAAGTTTTAATTTAACTGCTCAACTTTCAAATATCTCATATTTTAATCCATGTGACATGAAATTTATTATTAATAATATATAATTAAAAATAAAAATAAACTTTAAATTAGGAGTAATTTGAAAGTTGAGTAGTTAAATTTAAACTTTAGTGACCAAAATAGGAATGAGAAGATAGTTGAGTAATGAATGATGCAATTTACACATAAAAAGGTGCCACGTGCAAATCACCCTTTAAGTTTTTAACTGTGAGGTACTAAAACGAAACAAAAACTAAATATTAGATTTTATCAAAATTAGGAGTAATTTGAAAAAAAAATTAAAAGTTTAGATATTAAAACTGATCAATATTGATAGTTTATGTACAAAACACGTAATTTACCCTTTATTTTATCAAAACATCCCAAGCACTTCATCTTTCTCCTCTTATTTTCTCTCAAATTTTTTCTCAAACTTTTATCAGTTTCTTTCATCTACTTCCAATAAGGTAATGTACCTTTGATATGGCATTTGATTGGTCGATTTTGCCTTTCTAGTTCAAGTTTGAGCCATCTTTTGTGTAATTTTCAAGATTAATGAAAAGCATATGTGAAAATGCATCTTGATTTTAGATTTTTGTTTCATAATTTTCAGATCTTCATTTCTAAATGTTTTATGAACTAAAGTGATGATTTTCAATGTCTTAATATATGGATATTAAGTGTAAAAAAGTAGATTAAACATCTATAAATTTTTTTATTGCACATCTCGTTTTGGTGGGTGGGTCTCCCGACGGAGATTTTATGCATATACAAGAACTCAAACTCGAGACTTGCTTAAGCAATATCAAGCTGCTTATCACTTGAACTAATCCGTTGGAATGTTTTAATGTTGTTTGATTGATATAAAAGCATGATTTATATGTGTAACATGATGTTGTTGGTGGTATGTTCATGCATGATCCTTAACTTTAGCTATCACTAGGAATTGAATTAGTGCCAAGTGATGCAAGATTTAGCCTTAATTATCATCATCTTATGAAAATGATCGTATCCCTAGTGTAATCGGATCGACCTAATGACTATTGCCTAGGAACGGAGTCAGAATTAAATATTGGCATGGGCCGAAATATTAAACTATTTAAGAAAAATATAAAGACTTATTAGATATTTAAACTCGAAATTCAGCATGAACCAAGCGACTATAGTGATTAAGGGATTGTTGCTATCCGTGAGGTCCCGAGTTCAAGCACGTATGTAGGGGTATGAGTGTTAATTGTCAAATAGTTGAAAGTCTTTGTACATATATTACCTTGTAATCGCCCTAAATTAAAAAAATCAAAAATCAAAAGACAACTTCTAATTTGTTTAATATTTAAATTTACACTGACTTAAATTGTAATTAGACCAAAAATTTAAGAACATGAACTTATCATTCTTTAGTTTGACCCCTACTTGATTAAATATTTAATAAATTTGATCTTTTTTAAATTTAAATATTTATTTTAACTTGAATTAAAATACTATTAAACTAAAATTATATCGAATATATAAATTTTAACAGAGTTGATGGTGATTGGGCCTAAGGGAGCTCCGTCCCCGCTACTGCCTCAAATAAGATCGATCCTCTTACATGAATTGATTGATCCGTTCGTTAAAACTATTTCAAAATCATATTTTAAGTCCTTAAACACTAATTTTGTCTTTGGCCTTCCAAACATTAAGATTTTACAAAAATAGTCACTAAATTTTTATTTCGAAATCGAGGACGAATCCGGACTCAAATCGAGTTGAGTTTTCAACAATACCCTTTTGTTGACTTCAATTTCATGATTGTACTAGAAACTTAGGAGATGTATGTTAATCCTGTAACTTATTAATACGATTTAGTTTAGTCTTTAAAATATGTATAAAGATGGAAATACCCTAAAAACTTTAATAGTAAATCTATATTGGATCACTTCAATGACTAATGTTGTATCAAGAATTCGAATCAGACCGTCTCAATCAGATATCGAGTATTACAAAAGATTCCTTAGCCTCCAACATGTCATTTCTGCATTGAACCTGTATAGAAAATTATGGTCACACTACTTCTCTAAATCGACAATGTCTTGAGTTATTATTATTATTATTATTATTAATGTTCAATTAGATACGTTGTAAAACTAAAGATATAGGCCACGATTAGATGAAAAGAAAATGGACCAAATATGCTAGGGTCCCATGTCAAATTTTGTTTAGCGTTACAAAGTTGGCCCAATAAGGTAAGCGGACAGAAAAATCAACTCAGTACGACAACCCAAAATTATTTTAGAATCTACGACAAATGTTACCGTGCAGGAAAAACTCGTCACGCTTACACGATGAGCTTTCCCGAAAAATATACATATATCATACAAAATCGAGGGACTCGATTCAAACTTAAAAATCAATCTATTAATAACTAAAAATTTTGAGTTACTATTTGAGTTATTCCAGTTATATTCTAAAACTCAATTTAAACTTGAAATTTTTTCGAGTCAAGTCGAGTTTATAAAATTACAACTCGAAGTCAATTCGAGTCGATTTTTTTCCGAATTGAGTAGAGTTGAGAAAATCGATTTTTTCGAATCGAGTTTTGCTCACCTCTATCTAGGATAGCTAATGTCACTTTCATTCTCAATTTAAAAAAATATCATTTTGATCCTTAATTTTTTTCTCATTTAACCTTTAAAATTTTATTTTTTATCAAATTAAATCAAATGACGTAGAAAGTAACAGATTCGTTTCACTAATGTCATTTATTATCTTTTTAGTAAAATATTTAAAATGACAAAATATTATAATATAATAAATATATTTAAATTATAAAAAACACTGTTAAATTTATTTAAAAAAATATTGAAAATATAAAAATAGATTAAAAAATAAAAAATTATTACGGTTTTGTTTATTTGGGGCAACGATTTCTTTCTTTGACAAAGATACGTATCCATAATTATTAATACAAGAAATTATTTATTTAAAATCACATGAAGAATATAAAAGGAAAATGTTAAAAACTTAATTAAGATGTCGTTTGGTAATACTGTCTAACAGCATTTTTAGTTAAAAACTCTCGTTTTGACCGCAAAAATAATGTTAAATTAGTAAAAATTGAAGAAAAAAATACTGTGAAAATGGTGGTTTCAAACCAACCGCAATAGCTAGAATTTCTATCTTTTTCATTTCAAGTTTAAGTATCCTTAAAAAAATAATTTATTTTAGTTATTTAAAAATAAATAAATTTAATGGTTTATGTATTAAAATATTAATAATAAGTTATATAAAATATATTTTTATTTTTATATTTTTATTATAATTGAAATTAATACAATTCATATATAATAATTGTTTTTGAATTTATTATAACTTAAATTGATACAATTCATATATAAGTATAATCACAATTTTTTTTATTAAAGTATAAACATAATTTAAAAGTAATATTTTAAATTTACAATATAATGTCTAGAATTGATATTTTATCTTTACAAATTCATTTTTAATAATAATACCAAACAGTTAAATTTTAAATTACATTTTTAAACAACACTTTTAAAAAAAATTATAGCATTTTTAAGTCACTTTTCAAAAGCAATGTCAAACTGACCTTGAATAAACTCGAATAAAATGTAGCTATGAATAGATCTGATGAGATCAAACTATTGATAGAGTACCGACAAACTGTTAAATTTTAAATTTTATTTTTAAACAACACTTTTAAAAGTTCGTTTCTACATCACTTTTAAGTCATTTTTCAAAAGCAATGCCAAACTGACCCTGAATAAACTCAAATAAAAGGTAGTTATGAATATATCTGAGGAGATCAAGCTATTGACAGACCACCGACAAACAATAAATCAGAATCGATGTGAGAAACTATCTATGAATACAAATTGTGCGTCCAAATCCAAATCTAATCCGATGGTCAAAACAGTTAAATTTTAAATTGCATTTCTAAACAACACTTTTAAAAGTTCATTTCTACAACACTTTTCAAAAGCAATGCCAAACTGCCCCTGAATAAACTCGAATAAAAAGTAGCTATGAATAGATCTGACCACATAGAAAATTAAATACAAAAGGGAGATAAAGCTATTGACAGACCACTGACAAACCATAAATCATAATCGATCGATGTGAGAAACTATCCATGAATACAAATCGTGCATTCAAATCCAATCCGAGGGTCCAAACAGTTAAATTTTAAATTGCATTTTTAAACAACACTTTTAAAAGTTCGTTTCTACAACACTTTTCAAAAGCAATGCCAAACTGGCCCTGAAAAAACTCGAATGAAAGGTAGCTATAAATAGATTTGACCACATCGAAAATTAAATACAAAAGGGAGATCAAGCTATTGATAGACCACCGACAAACCATAAACCAGAATCGATCGATGTGAGAAAACTATCCATGAATACAAATCGTGCATCTAAATCTAATCCGAGGGTCCAGAGTAGGGAAGATCAATATGATAACAAATAATCATTATCTTGATTAGTCATGACGCTGTCAAATTCAACCTTTAAAAGAATGATAAACGAAAATAACACTTAAACGACCAAAAATGAGCCAGAAGGTAAAAGAAAACGTACTATAAAGAAAGAGTTATTAAAAAATTAAAAATAAGGAAAAAAACAAAGATATAATATAATAAAATTAAAAAAAGAGACCAACGTCAACACAAAGAAAAGAAAGAAAATTAGGGCTAAAAACCCTAATTATTAAATTTTTATTAGTTTTAGGGCAACGGGTTTTCTTAATCAAACTTTGAATGAGAAAAAGTACTACAATAACACCCAACTTGAAACAATTAGAAAGCTTCCTCGGCAAGTAATTACAATTACCGCTACATTAGTATATATATACACTGGTGTTTGACTTTTCAATAGACAGCAACGTGTTAGTTCTTCAACGATTAAAAAAACCATGGCTGCCGATGGAGATAGGTATGGAATTTGAACCTTGACTCCTTTGTTTTTAGTTTCCCTCACTTCTTCAATAATTCTCTGATTAATCCCTCTATTGTTGATTTTTTTTTTATGTTTACTTAGATGTTAATGGTTTAACAAAGTAAGCAGCGACAGCTTGCTAAAGTTTGAGGGTTTAAGCAGTGTTCTTGATTGATATGTTTTAATCTTGAATTCAATCATCTGTTAAACCGTAATAACAAAAGAGATTAGGGAAAGAGGCGGCTGAATCATGTGCTCGTCTCATTGTTCTCGTTTCATGGTTTCAGAGTGGGTATTCGAGAGGGGGGCTTGAGGATGATGAGTGGATCGTCTTATATAGCCAAAGATAGTGATTTGGGGTCTCAGGGAGAGGACAGCCACTTTATCTGTGAAGAGATGCATACGATCGGAGTGGCGGATGGCGTTGGCGGTTGGCAAATGCGAGGCATCGACGCCGGAATATACGCGAGGCAACTCATGAACAATTCTCTTCTCGCTACCCTCACTCAGGCTCATCCACACAATCAGATCGACCCCATGAAGGTCTTGGATGAGGCCTTTGCGAAGACGCAAGCCGCAGGGTCTTCCACGGCTTGCATCATAACTCTCCACGAGGACAACGTGTGTTATTTTCATTCCAATCTCATTGCAGATATCATGCTAATGCAAACTAAACTAAGGGATCTTTGGAATTTTTTGTTTTCCTATACATGTAGATGTTGCATGCTGTGAACATGGGAGATAGCGGGTTCATGGTGATCAGACAAGGTGCAGCCATATACAGATCTCCAATTCAACTACACTCTTTCAATTTCCCATATCAGTTGGGAAACGGTGCGAATTATGGTAAACCCCTTCAGGCACAGGTGATGAAGGTTGCAGTAGAAGCAGGGGATGTTATCGTAGCCGGAACAGATGGACTGTTTGACAACTTAACCGAAAATCAAATATCGGAGACTGCGGTAACAGGGATCGAACGAGGCTTACATCCAGAGGACGTTGCTTGGCAAGTGGCTCAACGAGCTTACGACGTTTCCATGGATAAAAAGGCCATGACTCCGTTTACGCAGGATTCTAAGATGGCTGGAAAATGGTATATTGGTGGGAAAAGAGATGATATTACAGTCATTGTTTCATGCCTTCTGCATGCATAATCAACTGTGAAGATGTGAGATATTTGACATTTGAAACTCCTAGGAATTAAGCATTTAGTGTAGAATTTTAGAGGCTCCATTTAACATTGGATTCATTTCTTAGTATATTCTTTCATGGGATGGATAGATTAACATGTTTATAGAGAGAATTTTCAATCTTTAAATGTTAAAGCCAACAATAAGGGGCACAAAAGGATCTAAAGCAATTAATTATGGTAGCTAAAAGAAATTGCAGTGCTTTTGTGTGTTGTTTACAACAGATCGGATTAGAGTCCAGTGTCCTAACCACTAGACTATGGAACCTTGGCTGTTAAGGCACCTTAATTAAACCATTTGTATTAGAGTCATTGCAAGAAGATTCAGAAATATAATGGGTTTTTTTTCCCTTCTTTTTTATAAGAACAAGCGACAAAGAGTATTACAAAATATATAAAAGAAAATAAAGGTAAATAAATTGGAAATATTGGGCCAGCTAAGCAACAAGTAGAGCAATGAGAAAGTGAATGCATTACTCAGTTTATCAAGTTGAAGAACATTGGATTTATCATGTTGACAAGTATTGCATATATATCAGAAACCAATGAATACCAAGGGAATAAGATGATGGTTATTGAACATAGAATTCACCTAAACTAAAAGGCATTCCTCGAAGTGTTTCTGATGTTAGCAGTACTTGCTCTGAGTCAAGTTCTTGTTCCTGTTTGATAAAGAAGCACTGCCTGGATCTTCCTCTTCTGAAGCAAGATACAATGGTGTTTGAGGAGGGTGCTTGTTTAAAATGAAGCCAATTTCCTCTCCACTGATCTTCTGATTCAGAAGAACCTGCAAAAAGGAATACATAACCAAAATGAAACTGCCTTTGTCCTGGAGGTCAGGGGCAGACTTGTTTCTTATCAATTATCAACTTGAGATACCGGCTCGTTAGTTTTAAATGCAACTAAACAATGCGAATCAAATTACCTTCACTGCTTTGAGCAAATCTGTATGGTGACTCCTAAGAAGGGAAACCATCCTTCCATACATATCATGTAGTCCTTGCTCCTCTTTGCGATTTCATCATCCATATTGAAGTTGACCGGGGGTTCGATCAGATCATAGTCGTTGTAAAGTGATCCTTCAAAGTCTAGAAGTGGGCCTACGAATTTAACTTTCTTCCTCCTAGGTGGTGGTTCTCCATACATGACCATTAGGTTCTCCAAGTTCCATCTGATGGAAGACATAAAAGGACCCGATATTAAACACCATTTCCCTCGGGGAGAAAAATTCCAAGAATTCAGCAGTTCTTTACGACAACTAACATGGTTAAAACTTTGCGTGCAAGCCAAGATGCATCTGCAAGGTAGTTAAGTGATGCCCTCGAGGTGTCCTGCCTGTAAATGACCTCTTCTGCAGCTCTTCTCCCAAGAAAAACATTCACACAAACAATGACACACATTATGAATGTTGACGAAATCCAGATGAGATCATAGTCGAATTATAACTGCTAATATGAATCCACACCTGAAGGCGATGCAACAGTTGTCTGATACGAGCAGAACACCAAGTAAAACTTCCACAAACTCTGAGCCTGCCATTTGGTAGAAGGGGACACCTGCTTCGCCAGCTATAGCCTTCGCAACTAAGGTCTGGAGAAGCACGAGATACATCAGATAAATAGGAAAAGGTAATTTCATATCAAAATTTGTGAACCATTTAATAGAAAACCAACCTTGCCACATCCTGGGGGATCTCCAAAAGAACTCCATGAGAGGCTTTATTCCTATCTTATCAAATAGTTCTGGATTCTTCAAATATCTCACCAACTAGTTGAAAAACAATAAGAATTAATAAGACAACGTAGTCACAGAAGACTCATATATATATATATATCTGTGTGTGTGTGTGTGTGAGGGAGAGAAGGGGGGAGAGAGAGAGAGAGAGAGAGAGAGAGAGAGAGAAATGGAAAAGGAAACAGAAACAGAAACAAAATTTGCAGAACTCAAACAAGGAACCATTATTCGCATTCATCAGTTTTTCAAACAGAAAAGTGGATACCTCTTGAAGCTCTTCAACTGCTTCATCTATGCCTGCCACATCACTAACTTAACTCCAGTTGAACCCTGAAAGAACAAACCTTCAAATTAGCCTTAGAAAGGCAACTCTGAACTCTGGTAATATAAAGATGAAGTAATATTTCAAGACTCACGTCAACACGAGCTTCTGCTTTAGATTAAGAAAAATCAATGACTTGACATGCGTCCTGTTATTTTGTAAACAATATTATTTCCAAACTCTGCAATAAACAAACAAGATTCCACAATGAGCTTTGCAAAGAAGTGCAGTGTTTACCCATTTCCTGAAGCTCTTAGGTATTATTGAAAGTGTGAAACGGACAAGAAGAACCATGATTAAAAGGACAAATGTGATTGGTTTTAGCATCTCAAATTCTCAATACTATCAGATACACCACCAAAAGTGAAAAATTCATAATCCCCCAAATCCCCTCTAATATACTGAATATGATACCAAAGAAAAGTTTAACAAATGGTTTCGTTATGGGCCACGAAACATATACAGTTGTTACAAATACAAAACTGGTGACAGCAAATACAGAGGCTGCTAGAAACCCTCCAACGAGAACTGCAGCAGCGACCATTACAGCAGTTACCATTCCAAGCTCTACCATCACTCTGCTGGATATGGAAGATGCCACTGGTTTAGGATACTCTGGTACTTTACCCACCCAAGACTGCATCACAAGTTTAAGCAGTAAAGGAGATTAATATGGAACCAAAACGTACATATTACCCAACACCCAAGTACCAAACATGCTTCAATGTCAATGATGTGCAATGATCTGTATTCTACACAGTGCTTTTCCACTGATCACCAAGGAAAGATGGTCTTGACGGATATCGCTAACAGAATTCCACATACCAATATTACATAAGACTGAATTAACCAAGGCAACTCTTACAGCATATATGATCTTGCTAAGTCGATGTAAACTTCACCATTTTCAATTAAATTCAATTCTTATGTGGATGCTTTAGCTATCACAAAAACCAAGGCAAATAAAACACAAGCATACAGTAAACTAATCCATGGCTTTCAAAATATAGCAACTTTACACATCCACCTCTTAGTTAATGTATAACATACTCATAAGCAGTGTGTTCATGTATAACTAGAAAACCAAAGAGAAGTTGAAAGGTTTATCATCGTCAGGGGCCTCTCAGTTTCATATCGTTGTCCAGTGTACTCTCTTAAAAGATCTTGAGCTTCACTCTCATCTAATCTCATTGCCCTGCAAAAAAAAAAAAAGAGAAAAACAACATATACATATAACAGAAAACTGCAAAGAAATACAACTTGAGGAAATTGCAAGTCATGTTAATATTCACCATTTAGTCCTCTGCAAGCTCTTGTCGCCAGGAATATCCTTCAAATCCACAACAAAGTCCCTATACATGCCAACGTATGAAACACCAGAAACCTCCTTGGAAGTCAACAATTTAACCTTGTCATTCTTAATAGCTTTCCTAAAATCTTCCAAGCTCATTTTGGCAACTCCTCCAAATTCTTCTCGAATTCATCTTCCTCTGATAACTCAGCCCCAAAAATCTGCTCGGGCGCATAAAGCTCCCCTTTATACTCCCTCAAAATATCATTCAAACGCACGTAGTCATTTTCACTACTCGTTTCACCCTAATTGGTTGCATCTTTCGATTTTGTTTTCAATTTTTTCTTCAAATTTTCAATCAAACCAGGTTGTTACCTTTTCTTAAATCCTTTTTTCTTTCAAGGTGTAAATCTTGTTACCAACGAGGTACCTGGGTTCTACCTGGCTAGGGTTCTCCTTCAAAACCCTAGTCACAAAGTAATCCCCTTTGGGCTTGCTAGTGCCACCACCAGGCTGTGAGGATCGCAATCCACGTAGAACCGTGAATGACCGCTGAAGAAAGACAGTTATTGATGGGAATTTCCGAGTCAAATTCAAGGGCTTTATTTTCCTGGGGAGCGATTTGACAGGAGTAGAGTATGGTTTCAGAGAATTAACCCTAGCTGAGATTAGAGAATCAATGGTGGTCATTTTTCTTTCAGCAAACTACGAGAACAGTAGGGTTTACAAAAGGGGCATTGAATTGTAGCAATGGTCATCATGAATTTCCTTTCCCAAAAATAGAATTAAATCCAACAGCACCCAATGAGATGGCGTGAGCTTCAACAACACCCGCATCAAACGGCACTGGCAATAACCAAAACGTTATTATGTCGAGCAAGAATGCCAATTGCAATCGTACCCGAAGCAGGAAAGCATGCACCGTCAACATTTATTTTAATGCAATTGGCAGGTGGCTTGATCCATTGGACAATCGACAATGGCGCAGGAGGTTCACGATCGTCAGTAGAAGAAGAAGCTCGAAGGGAAGCCGATTGAACAGCCTTGTAGCTGCCAAGCCGAAAGAAGTTTCCCATCATGGAGATATACATTCCGCCTGTGCCATAGATTCATAAGCAGCTCAAGCCATGCCCCGAATGAAGGTTGTTGACAGCTCCAAACCTGAACATCCAGCGACAGTGGGGAGATTGGGAAGTTCGAAATCGCATTTGCATCTGTCGGGGAGAAGATATCCATTGAGCTTGTATTTGGGACCATAAAATCACCACATCGTAAAGGAGCATTGTTGTTGCCAACATCATTCGATGCAAGATGAACAGGAGCGGTACCACCCCAATTGATATGAACTCGATTATGTATTTCAAGTTATATATGTTGTTGTTCGATCGTGATTCTAGTAATAAATTCTGCAATGTTTGAAATGATTCTGAAAGTACAAAATTAACGTTGTGAATATGAGATAAGAAAATAAAGAATGAAATTCAGAAGGATGTGGATGAATTTGAAGTTGAAGGATTGATATGGAAATGATTTTTAGGATTTGATTAAGTACGGAAGATGATGGAAGTTGTAGTTTGGATGGAATGGCAATATGACGAAGGTATGTGTTGGTAATGACGTGGAATGTGTAAGGTGGATTGAAAATAAAACGGATTATGACCCTCTAACTATATGGAGTTAGGAACCAGCAATATAAAGAGATGGAATTGAAGTGGAAATAGATGGAACGTGACCCACTAGATATAGGAGATCTAGGAACCAACGTTATAATAAAATGAAATGGAGGAAGGCTTCAA